GCCCTTACCAGGTGTACCTATGTGTCCTGCTGGCCGTGCTCCTCCAGGTGAGAGGCCGCCCTTCCCGCCCGCTCTTGTCCCGAGGAGGAAGCAGTGCCGGGAGGGGGATGCTCTGGGTGCGGTGGACAGCTGTTCCCTAAGTGTTGGGTGGATGTCCCTGTGGTGAGTGCTGCCCAGTGCGAAGGCTTGTGTGGGAGGGTTTTTGCTGAGGGCTGCTGGTGGCACTAACAGGTCTTCCCCTCTGGGTCTGTCCTGCAGCAGCGTAGAGCGCTTCTGGGGCACAGGTGATCTCTGCCCGAAGGCAGCGCTCAGTTCTGCAGAGTGAATTTGGGGCAAGCAGCTGATGCTCTCTGTGCCGCATTGCCTGAGCGGTTGCGCCTTGTGTCACTCGTGGAGCACATTAGGAGCTGGTCAGGTGAAGGGCTGGCTGAGGTTGAACTGAGGTTTCTGTGACCTGGCCTGGAAAGCGTGGACTTCTGTAAAAGGCTCTGCAGGGAATCGTGTGCAACCTAGAGTTAATGGGCTAGACTGGGAATTTCTAGGTGGCGTGTGGCTTGACTGTCACTGATAAAGTGACAGGTGGCCACTGATACCTCTGTGTGCAGAAGCTCTCATGTAACCAGCTGACAGGTGGTGATTGCTTATGGTGCTTTGATTTGCCCTGACTTAACTCTTAGAATACAGAGGCAGTGTCTCTCAACCACTAGGTATTTGGATGAGGCCCTACATTTTGGTTAGTCAGGTTTGTGAGACAGAAAACTGGAACTCTTCTAAGTTTTGTGATAAAAGTGTAGTCCAAAGTAACAGAAGTGCTAGATGAGAACACTCTTCTAGTGCTCTAGAGAAGACAAACTCTCTCTGGAGAGAGAGTTTCAGAGACTGCATGAGCAAATGATGTGCTCTGCAGTCATGTTTGTCACCCTTCAGTTTTGCTTCGTCTTTGTGCATATTCCTGTGAGGACAGGGAAGGAAGACAAGAATAATACGTGTACTGTCACAGTCAGACATAGGACTGAAGTATGGTTTGAATCTGACAGAAGTCTGGTTTGCCTCGTGTTAGCATCAAGAACTTCATTGGCATGAATTCAGCTAGGCTGACAAGTGCTGGGTTGCTTCCACTGAGAGAATTTAATAGTTGCAGGAAGAAAGAGGGGAACTGAAATGTCCTCCCTCCTCTTCTGACCCATATTTTGTACGAATCAAGAACTTTCAGTCATGAGCTGTGAGACTGAAGATGTCTTCTCCTGGCAACCCCTACTTCCCCTAGACTGACCAAAATACTAAGAAACTTTATGAGATGACCAGAGTAAATTCGGATGCCCAGTCTTGTTGGATGGGAACTCTATACTTGGTTGTAAAGTTATGGTGATAAACAGCAAAAGCTTTGTAGGTTTCTATTTCCTTGTACTGTTTTTCTTCCTATTTTTTTTTTATACTGATTTTAGCTGATTAATTCTTAAAATTAGACATTGCGTGTTCTGCTGGCCAGCTGGCTAGAAAACGTATATGTTCCTGAACATTAGGAATTAAGGAAGCAATAGTTACTTCTTCCAATGGTGGTCATGTTCTGGAATGAACTGCAAACCATGCCAAGTGCTCTTGTGTTTCCAGAATTTTTAGTATGGGTTATTTGTTCTGTAATGTTTGTGTTCTGTTCGTTTGTTTTGTTTTTAATGGCTCAACTTGCATTTCTCCTGGGCGAAGTAAACAGAAAGATCTTTACAAATCCTGGAACTAATTCAGAATAGCTAAAGAAGAAACAATAGCAGGTTTACAGGTCTGCTTATTTTCTTCTAATGTTATCTTTAATTCTTGAACTTTGGTAAAGAGTATCATCCTCTGACTGGTAGGTTTTCTTTACTTCATGCAGGCACAGGAATCTGTAAGGAGTTTAGATGTGAAGCATTTTGTCTTTCAGTTCATGAGTAGATGTGGACTTATTGAACTGGTTCCTGCTTGGGTGGTTGATTGCTTTTTGTGTTCCTTTACTGGTGCCAAGTTACATAATGTGTCACTGGGATGTGCGAGAGCAAGGCTGAAGGCAGGTTCCACGACTGGTGTTAGTCTTTTGTCTGGTTTATCATCAACCTCTGGAGGATGGACCCAAAGGTAAGTAGTCTGTCTTGTGTGTGTGATGTAGAATGTAGATCTAGGTAATCATGTGCTCCTGTAGTGCATTAGATATAGCATATGGCAGCAGGATGAGAACTCTTGGTAGTCTATATCACTGGTTGTGCCATGATTATTCCATTTTACTGCTAATTTTTCTGTCCCTTTCCATGTGCTCCCTCAGTTGGCCTATATTTTTATGTTGGCCTGTTAGTATAAAAAATATTTCTACATTCTTAAGGGTAAGAATACCCGGTGTGAAAAATATTTGTCTGCTGTGTCAAGTCCCTTCATCTTTGTTGCCAATATCCAGAGCTTAGACTCTGTGCTTTCCCTTCACAGTAAGATTCCCAGCAAGTGCACTTGCTTTCCTTGTAGGCTTTTTACTTTTTCATCTCTGCATGTTACTAATCTCTTTGAGTTTCATACTTTATAAGTACTTTACTTCATTTTAGTGTTGGTGTTTTTTAATATAAATTTGAACAGTAAGCTACTTCCACTGTGTAGCCTTAGTGTTACGCCAGTGTTATCTGGTCTCTGAATTCTCATTACAGACACAGTTTAGCTCACAGAATTTCTTTGAGTCAAGCTCTACCAAACACTCCTGTCCATAGGGGTGAGTCAATTTTCAGGTGGGCTTGGGTGAACTGGTACTTGATATGTGGAATGAGCTTACTGACATTCTGGCAAAAACCTCCAGATGGCTTGCAATTAGAAAAATGTTTTTCTATGTTTCAGTGTAAAACTTTCAAGTATATGTCTTGTGGGCTTCTTCATTCATCTTCTCTGATTTCTATTATTCCTCTGCTACCTGCTGCTGTTTTTCATTAACCTGCTGAGCTGTTACTGTATCAAGGTATGCCTGGCTTATTCACTACCAAGTTAAAAGGAATTTGGAAGATTTTTAGGCATATTGTGTAATAATGGTTGCTAAGTTTATAATGGACTGACAACAGTTAATGTAGAGAAATGTTTTTCCAAATGACATGGAATTACAGAAAGACCAGACTTACCTGAAGAATGTGCACATTGACTAATGATGTGAAATTAAGGCTGGATTAGTCTTGCATTTCTAGTATATCTTTAAGGAAGTGAGGAAGATACAAAGGGAGCTGATAACTCTTAAAATACTTAGGACTTTATTTTGAGCTGAAAGTAAGTACTTGATACCTATTGATTACTGGAAAGTTTGTTGCAACCTTTTGAAGAAATTATACAGAAGGATTAGTGGTATTATAGTAGTCTTTTGATGTTTATTTAGTTTGTGTAGCAACATGAGACAAAACCCCACACCTTGATCAGCTGCTTGAGAGCACTCTTAAAAACATACTTAAAAATAAAAAGTTTCTTTGTCTCTTGTGGTTCAACATATGTGGTTGAACAAGTTTGGCCTGTGTCAGTGAATCGGAGCTACAGGATTGCCCAAGCCCAGACTGAGAATGGAAATGTGCTTTTACTCTATCTCTACTGAAAGGCTTTAAAAAACATGCTAGCATTTGAAAGAGAGTTTTTGTTTGCACAGCTGAAAAAGGCTTTGCCTTAAGTTGAGTAATGTGCATTGCACAGTAATGTGGATAATTACCAAGGGTGGTTGTTCCCATCCATCTTAGGAGCTCCTTACTAACTGAAAGGAGGATGTAAAAACAGTTAAGATGGTTACATAAAGTTGCTTGAATTATACCTTTTCCTTAAACTCTCTGTGATGCAGTGCAGCTGTAAGGAGTGGTGTTGCTAACATCATTTTACTGTTGACAACAATACCATGTATGGCTTCTGTTATTACAATATCCCATGCAGAAGGATGGTCTATAATCATCCCATCTGCACAAATGTTTTGAGGGAAAGCACATTCTGGGGCATGTGGCTTAAATTAGGCAGGCTCATTCCAAATCTTTAGAAATAATTCATAAGAAATAGTGTCTGTCCTCAGACAGGATGCAGATGTGATCATCCTATCACAGTTGCTTAACTGTTTCTTGACATTTCTTATCTATGTCATGAGACATCACTCTGTGGTCACAATGACAGTAATGAAATATTTTATCAGTGTATCTTCTTTCAATACTTACATTTGCTTGACTCTTTTAAACTTTTCTTTGAACCAGACAGAATTGATCAAACATTGAACAACTTTTTCCCAGTCCTTGATGATGCATGCTATTTCAACTTTATCTGAATAGGAAGAGCAAAACAAATTGGAAATGTAATGAACAATTTAATTAGGAGAGGGATATTTCACAAATTGCATTACAACTCTGGTGTAGTGTGCTGCAGTTGTTCCAGGGGCATCATGACAGGTATGGTGTTTACCCAAAGTTACTTGCACTATAAGTTAAACACAGTTCCAGTGTCTGTAAGGTAAGTAAGCAAGGTGGCAGATGTAAAAAGTATTTTCAGAATTTCTGTGTAATATTTTTTGAGTTTGATCACCTCTGTGTTTGGGTTTTTTTCTGTATGTGGGAGAGGTATGAGTTTTAAAGTCTCTCAGATTCTCAATAAAGCAGTTGCAGAATGTGTGTCAGACACATGCAGCCTTCTTCCTGGAGGAGAGGTTTCAAGTGTGGCATGAATACAAACATAAAAAACAGGGACCCAAGTGTTTTTCTTGAGGAAAGTTTTGTATTCCCACATCTTTTTGTGCATTGTATCTTGCTCAGAACATGCTTATGCTGGAGGACGGTGTTGCTTTCCATGTAAATATGATGAAGGCTTTTAGAGTACTTGTATATAAATCCTTGTTCTGGCATAGCATACTCCTGTTTGGGAGGACAAATAAATGAGGTAGGTATGAATATGTAAGCTATTGATGCATAGAGATGTGCTGCTACTCATTTAGCTAAGAATGTTTCTATCTGAAAGTTGATGGAACTTCTAAGTGAAGACAGATCCTACCATTTACTTCAATGGTAGGTGGGGAAAATCTTTCAGGAAAAAAGGTAGTTCTTTGTTCATGTGTGACATTTGATTTCAGTGGTGCTAACTAACAATTCTTGGTCTGTTCGTCCTTCTCTCAGATCCATAACTAACTTCCTTGAGACAATCACCTGCCTTAA